TTATTGGTCCAATCCCTTGTGAGTAGACTAAACCAGATAGGCAATATTACGTTCCCCAACAATATGGGGTCAGCTACACGAGTCCTGTTTCACCATTCCATTCTGTTCAGTGCCATATCTATTATTGTCAAATTATGGGCATGTAATTCATTTCTTTCTACTTCCATCCAAGTCCTTTTCAGTGTGCCCCTAGTTCTTTTATCCCCCTTCAACTTGTAAGTTGTAACAAATCACTTCTTCTAATGGATGCAAAATTACTTTTATCAGCTTTGGGAAAATGTCTCACAAGAGACAACAGATCACCTATTCCTCTATTGTCCCAGCAGTTGGAGAATTGTTTTTTAAGATAAAGAGAAATTCATTAAAAGAAAAATAAGCTTACAACCAACGACACAAGACTAAAGACAATCAGCAACAGATCACCCTAGAAAGATAAGACATTAAAACAAGCTTACAACCAACAACACAAGACTAAAGACAATCAGCAAAACAAAGGCCCAGAAGCACCATTTCTAACCCTCCCCCCCCCCCCGAGCTCCGAGACCCCACAGGACAGGCAACCAACTCCTAATCCTCCCCTTCAAATGCTTCTTCCTCTTTGTTGAGTTGGACCGATTTCTAGTTATTGGGCCCAGTTATTTATTTATTATTTTTAAGTTGTTAAGTTAGGAAGTTGTTGGGCTTTAGGCACATTAGTTTATGTTTTTAAGCTGTAACTGTTCAGCTACTTAAGTAGCCGCCCTACTAAGGGCATTCTTGTAATCTCTTATTCTTTTAAGTTGAGTATATAATACAAAGAGAGGTTGGCGGCCAGAACTAATTCAATTCTGGTTGACAACCTACCCCTTTTCTTCTCTACTGCTGAAATCTTCATCTTCTTCTTCTTTCTCTTCACAAGGAATTTATCTAAAACTGCAATCAGTGATTTCTACTCTCTTGTCTGACAATATCCTCATCCCACATTTCTCTAAGCTGGGTCTTTTCAGACTCAATTATAGAGGTGCTTAGCAGTTGGTTCATTAGAGTGCTCTTAAAGAAAGAAAGCTGGCCTGGTTCTCCATCCCAGTGGCTGTTGTTTTGAATATATGGAAAGAGAGGAACCAGAAGGTATTTCACAACAAGAATGAACAGGATGACATCTTGAAGAGGAGGGTCTACTGTTTTTCTAGTTCATCATGACTGCCAGTCTAAAAGCAATCAGGGAGACTCGTTATAAAATGATTGTTTGAGAACAAACTTCGAAGAGTTAATTGCATTGCTTTCTTTTAACTTTTTGGTAAAGGCAACAGATCTGTGTATGCTGCACAGTCTCTCAATGTATAGAGAAATACAGAGATTTTACATGTTTTTTGGGCTGTTTTTAGCTGATAGTAATGAAATTTTACCTTATCATTCTCAACAAAAAAATGGTTGCGATAAAAAAGGAACAAAAAGAAAAGAAAAAGGTTAAACCAAAGTTTAAAAGAATGGAGAATAATAAAAAAATAATAATAAAAGCATGGACGCATGAGGCAAGAAACTATGCATGGGTGTAAGCCTTGATGCAGGAAGCTTAAACCTGGATATAAGCACAAATATACAAACACCACACATAAAAGGCATCTCCAAGTGTGAGCAATTTGTTTTATACTTTCAGCCATAAACTTCAAGGTTTTGAGGCATTTTCTTAAGCCCTGCCTCGAGTGGAACCTGAAGACATAAGCCTTGTACAATTTGTAGAAATCTGGATTAAAGATATATCAACTTCAAATTTGTGAAGAATAAGCACTAAAGTTTTGTTTAAAAACTAGGATTAGTTGCTGTGCATTTAACATTGTAACGCTATTAAGAACCCTTATATCTTAACCAAGATAATCCCACAAAAAAATAAAAAAGAAAGAAAATAAATAAGTAAAAATTAAAGCTTTCAGGCTGTACAGGGAACTAAAAATTAAAATAAGAGAATATTAAATTATATATGCTAAGGAGATTCTTCTAAGACTTCTAAAAAATACAAGAGAAGTCAGAGGCATGGAGAAAGTGGAATTTCAATTTAGCTATCAGTGTAATTTTTTATTGGATTAGCTATCAGTGTAATGGCTTCATTATAAGCATTAAAAAATTAAAAAATATCTATACAGCCTTCACCAGCTCCAAAGTATGTAAACAATATTAAATAGAATAAGTGCAGAAAAAAAAACTTGACTAAATTAGGAAAAATTCATTACATAATTCAGAATTTGAAAATATATAAAGAAAAAAATTAGATCAAATCATGCCCAGGCAACAAAGTAGGCACTTAATATTTTATGTTTTTTATAATTTATATAAGGTGGTTTACACAATTAATATAGGCACCATTAGATCAAATCATTTATATTATTTCATATATATATATACTTTTGTTCTTGGGGTGATGTTGCATACTATCTATATTCTTATCACATTATAATGTGCTTGTTGCTTACTTTGCACTTGTATTCAAACCTGAAATGGATGACTGTTAACAAATAACCATCTGCCCTCCTTTCTTCCATCTAGTTAAAGATTTCCCATCAATAATGCCAACTTAAACAATTGAATCTTTTCCTTGGCAATATTGCTTGTGGGATGTGGTAGCACAGACGTGATCCATGAAATATATATTTCATCCTTTATAACAGCGAAAGTATGAATCTGTTTCTGTATGCATGATTCATCCTCTTGGTTGAACCCTGAGATATATAATTCTGTTTAACTCTTTAATGAAGTAGGATTCATAGTCTAATGAAGCATTATCCATTGCTCCAATCAATTCATTTAGTTCTTCTTCTTGTGATATTTGTTATGTTTGAAATATTAAAATTAATATATTGAAAAGGAATTCTTGATATGAATATGGTGATGTTATATGCTTCGATACAAAATTTGTAGTTATTTTGATGAGTTTTAATTTTTGGTTGAATTAGGTAAAGTATGGGTTTAGAAAAAAAGTGTATCTCCCTGTAAAAAAGACAAATAAGGTATTCTCCTACATAGCTTCTGAACTCCCAACCAAGAAATCTCCATCCCTTGTATCTTCATAACCAATTCTTCCACTTGAGCTTTGTTTTTGAATAACCTAGTATTTCTCTCATTCCAAATTGCCCAAAACACATGAACAGAACAACCCTCCACACCACAGCCAGGTATTATTATGAGTACTATTGCTAATTGTTAGTTTGATGATTGCTAGTTAACATGCAAAATAGGAATTTAACCTAAGATTTGAGGTTTATTTTATTTTCAAAAACCATATCGTAGGCAATGCATAGGCATCTCGGCATCTAGGCACTCCCTGGTTGTCTAGCTTGGGATTAGAAAAGCAGAAAAGAAGATTGGTCTGAGGTTGTTATTGGGAAATTAAGGGAGGATTTGGTCGGTATTAAGAAGATTTCTGTGGATAATGAAGCGGACCTTATTAATGGTAACGCTGCAAAAAGGAATGACCAAGATTTTTCTATGAAGAAGTATGCTGGCATTTGTAATCAAATAAAAGATAAAAAACCCTGGTACATGTTAAAAGGTTTTCTCTAGACTAAAGAGTAGTTTATGTGTGATTTGACCAAGAGATCAAGAATCATGTTTGTAAAGCAGGACAGTTTTCTGACCAGCAGATTGTGTTTGAATAGTTCATTTTTTGGATGGAAAGATCATCTCTGGTCCAAATAGGGAAGGGCTGAAGGGGTAGATGAAGGATGTTCATAAATGAGACAATGTTTCATTAATTTGTTGAAGAACGTTAAAGGTTGTTCGGAATCAATTGGAAAGACAGAATCAGACTGAGGTGACTTGGACAATGTTATTCTGCCGGATGAAGTAGGTAATCATGTTTTTCTTTTCTTTTTTTTTGGATAAGTAGGTAATCATGATAAAAGGATAGGTATTGAGAATGAGAAAGCTGATGACAGAAAAAATCAAGTGGGAAAAGTTTGGGTTTGTTTTTCTTAGGTGGTTAAGGAAATGCAATAAAAGGTCATGAAATTAGGGGGGAGGGGGGAGAGGAATAGGAAAGGTCATTGTTGAAAATTCAATTGAGATTTCAAATCACAAATTAATGAAGGGGGAGGTAGAATCTGGAGAAGTTTTGAGGCAATTGTTTGGTACTGTTATGGAAGACTTGAGCCAAGATATAAGATGTTATGGTTTCTGTCTATTGTCTCTTGTAGAAGATTAATATGCATAAGTGTTTGATGCATTTATTGGAAGCTGTGGCTTGTCATAGTCATGGCTTTAGGGGTCACCTTTGTGCATTGTTCTCTTTGATTGTACAAAGAATGAGGGGAGTCTCATTGTAATGGTGAATTGATTTAGTTTGGGGGGATGTAAGATTATATTTGGTGGGAATGTTCTTTGAATGTCTCTTTAGGACAGGGTGATTCATTTTGTAATTTGAGAACTTCTCAGAGATTTCTTATCACCATTTCTTTTACCCCTTTTATGAAATTTTATCAACAAAAAATTACTGCCGAGTAAGGATTTTGGAATAGTTGTTAGGGACTTTGAACTAGTGGATCCACTTTACCTGGATAATTTAAACAATAGCAACCAATCAACCGAGAAACTCTAAGCCAATGAATTCCACATCAACAATAAAAGACGGGTGCGAGAGTGACGATACTATTTTTCCCGACATTGCCTAGTTTGCCTTAAATTGTACAATAAATATATAATTCAAACTTTCAACATGGACAAGGCCCATACAGTGTGATAGTTTAAAAGTTAAACAAAGTCCCCAATTCAACAAGGTTTACTCAGAAGAACGCAATTCCCCAACTACGAAAAGCATGAAAAAATAACAAAGAATACAATGAAAGAAACTTATACAACTCAAATACACCCCAGAAGCATCAAGCAACAAGATTAAGAAAGGTTCGGATGTCAGTTAGTGAGAACGGAGCTCGTTGTAGAAATTTATTTAAGGAAAAAATAAAGATACAACTTCCAGCAAGAACTAAGCTAGTTAGGTGGCAACAGATGGTACCAATACACGCTACACTAACCTCAAATGGTGTAACGATAACAAGCGCTTCGAGAACGCCGGCTCCGAATCCAGCAATCATCCTTCCTTGATTGCTGAGCTTTCCGGTCTCCGAGTCCTTGAACGCCGTCTGAAGTACGGCATTGGACCCCATTCGAAGAGCATACTTGAGGGTGAGATGGGTGGCGAATGGGGTCAATCCCTTCCAGAGAGCCCGCACGCCTTCGGTCCTCGATACCGTAGAGCCACAGTGAAAAATTCCCTTGTAAGTTCCAGACCTGTCGAGCTGCAACCTCGTCTTAATAACGTCGATGGGTTGAAGACAACAAGCCTCAACGATCCCTCCGATGGAACCGGATACTGCCTTCATATACGGTGGAATCGTCGTCTTCCGATTCTGTTGAGACTTCTGTTTTTCTCCCATTAGGGCTTTTCTACAAACAGGAATGTTTCAAGAGGTGCTAAAAATAGAATGAAAAGAAGAGGAGGAGGATAACGAGCAAGAGAATGTTTTCAGTTTCTCGATGCTCGTAGGTGCTTTAGTCCTCCCTCTCCTTTCTTCTTCTCCTTGATTTGGAGGTGGCTACTGGCAACGGCCTACGACAGGGATGGCTGACAACTGATATGTGCGGTGGAGACGTCTGTCTTCTATAGAGCGCTACTTCTGGAACATGCAGTCTTCCTTTCGCAGCTCGCAGGTATGAGGTACCGCGAATCTGAGAATCTTTTATTTCTCAATGGAAATTTACTGTATTGCGTATTTGCGTCATTGCGTGTGAGTGGTCGATGGTCAGCGCCTTAGCGGTCTTGCGGTAATACGCTGATACACATCGTGAACGGGACCCTACGTAGTAGTAATATACACTACAAACGAAGGCGGGTACAACTGTACAACAGCTATTACCCAACCAATCAAGTTCAAGAATGAGCACGCCAGGCGCCAGCTATCCGTAACGATAACGGATTGGCTGAACGCAATCGCTGTTCAGCAGGCTGTTGAACCAATGATAACGCCCCAGTGCCCCACCGGCCCACCCGAGTCATAAAGACATGGGGCACAAGGCCCACAACTATTCAATCTCTAACTTAAAGACGTGGCCCGCTAAACATCCTACAATAGCACATTCGTGCCACTGTCTTGAAGATCAAACCGGATCAGACGGTCGAGCCGTTTGATTCAGGAAACAGTCAAGTCAGTAGTTTCATTTTGACCTTGAACCGTTATTTTACAAAAGAATTGTTAAAATTGTCAAGAACCACTGATCTCAATAGTTTAATCATTAAATTATTCGGTTTGGTTAATGGTTCTCGGGTTGTTTTCAAATTATTTCTAAATTATTTATTTATTTTAAAATAAAAATCAAAAATCAAAAAAGAACTTTCATATCTCATAATTTTATTTGATTATTTTCAATGGCTAAAATTAATTAGATTTTTAGTTTTTTTTCATTTTGATTTTGAATTTTTTGTGATTCTTCCTATGTTGTAACATGGAAAAAATTGCAAGTCCTGAAGAGATTGAAAATCGATTCAAGAGTAGATGAGAGATAAGACATCGATCTAGGATTTGAAATTTAAAATACACAAATGAAACTAATATGATTTATGATATAAGAAAAATTTAGAAAGATGAGAAAGATCTAAAAAAAGAGGACAAAGTGAAACGATATTGTAGTGATAATGCACATAGCGATAACCACAGTTTGCACTTCTTTCTTCTTTTCTTCGGGCAAATGGTGTTATATATCAACGAATAGTGAACATAGCGGACAACCACCGCCCACACTTCATCCTCGTCCCTCTCTTTCTTTCTTTAAGCAGACGCAGTTCTCAAGGTCTCTCGCTCTCCCCTTTCGTAATAATAATAATGTCTCTATATGTTTTACTTTAACCTATATTCTAATTTGACGACTAGAATGCAAATATACACTATTTTTAATCTAACCGGTTTGAAAGTAATCACAAATAAGCACGCAAGTGTTCCATACATTCACATGTGAGCCCCATGCAAACATAATAAGACTATCAACGAACTCCCAGAATCCAACACCCAATTCAGCATCTCAGTTCGAACAGCCCCTGAATGACCTCATCTCCTTTCAGAGACTCGGCCACCTTAGTGCCATCCACAATAATGCAATCCGGCCAAAAACGCACTAAGCCAAGGGAGGACAAGTGGAGCCAATAGGAGAACCACATGGCGCCATACAGCCTCACGTGGTTAACCAGAAAGTGAGGCCCGGAGTTGCACCATGTACGTCAGACGTGTAAAGACCACAACAATTGTCCCGAGATCTCAGCCATGTCTTGGGTCATTTACCTCAGTAAGGCTGCAACTTGGGCCGGCCTAGTCTAATGGGTTGGGTTGGGTTGATATTCGAATTAAAACTAGGGTTGAGATTCATAGATTTGACTTTATTTTGGATTCGGTTAGGTTTGACCCCTTTAACAATTGGATCCAATTTGAACCTGACTCTATAATATATGTTATAAATTATATTATACATTGATTTTTTTATATGTATGATAGTTGTATAGCCCTCACTATATACTATAATGTCTTTCTTTTAAGATAATCATTTCACTTGATCCTATATGAAAAGATTAAAACCTTAATAACATATTTTATGTTCTTTGAATATTTTATTCTTCATCTCCTCTCTAATGTTTGATGCCTATAAAAGATCTATCATAAGTCATAACTCATAGTAAAGTATAGTCATTTCATACACTTATTTTTTTGATTTTGTACTAAAAGAATCGATAAAAATATCAACAAACAAATACTAATAAAACATAGGATTAATATATGTAGTGAAAAGTTAGTTAAGATTTGAGATTAAATAGTTTTATAAGATTTTAAGGAATGGGAAGAAGGTTGGATTGAGTTGGATTGGGTTAGGATTGAAGGAATTTAGTTAGGGTTAGGGTTAAGGGTTTATAACTTAGGGTTGGGCTAGGACTGGCCTCAACCCGATTTAACCCGACCCGACTTGCAACCCTACACCTCAGGAAACGAGTGACCCCACTTATATAAAGGTAACATTTACACAATTTATTTATCACATTTACTGTACCCAGACACCTAAACACCTTGGACACCTGTTGAAGCAACCAGTCCAGGATATCACCTCAGGCCCTCTACGTTTGCTCTATTACAGACATATATATATATATATATATATATATATATATATGTTAAGACTCTTTTTTTGTTATTTTAAACGCAATAAATCTGATGTATCTGAATCCAATCCAACTCCAACGAATCAGATTTCAGATTGAATTTTGATCCAAAAGGTTTTTGTAATGGGATTGGATGTAGATGGATCTGATGCATTTACAACAAAGGAGCAACAGATCACAAGTGAACTCTCACGCTCACCCTATCCTATGAATAGACCAGGTCAGAGCAGTGTCTGGGCACCAGTCTTCTTGGAGACTTGAAGTTGCCTAGAGTTGGACATCACTTCAGTTGTAATTGAAGGAGACGCAAAGAACGTAATTCAGACTCTGTTGGAGAATACCATTTCTCCTCCGTGGCAAATCCAACATGTAATTGCCGATTGCAGAGCCATTCTCAGCTCCTTCAACCTGTTTTCAGTGTGCTACATTCCAAGGAGTGCCAACAATGCTGGGCATCTCCTAGCCAAGTATGGTTTAAAAACCCAAAGGTACACACATGGTCTGTTTGTCCTGATTTTCTTTCTGATTCTTCGGATGTTTCACTGAGTTATCTTAAATGAATCAGCCAAGATTGGCTTAAAAAAAATAATAACATATGTGCCCCACAACTATTAGAGGATATGTGTTAACTAAGGTGAATTTATTTGAAAGGAGGTTACTAATGATGGTTGTCTATCATGCCAAAGAGAACCAGAAAGCAATTCTCATTATTTACTTTTTGGCTTGTCCTTTTGCTTTTGATGCTTTGTTTTGCTAGTAATGTTTCCAATGAAGATGTTAATAACCTTTTGTTTGGCTTTCAATGGTTTGATATTATGTTTGGATGGTTAGGAATGAAAGAATTCTAACTCTGATAGATCTTACTGTTGGGTTCTAAATATGGCTGATAATACATTAATACCTATAATTCAATTAGACAGGAAGAAAGTAATGATTCATTGGGAACCAAGAATTTTACTCTGTTATATCAACAATTTCATCTGTTTTGGTATCAATGCCGTTTTCTCATACAAAGATCAAACAAGCGTAAGAATGGCAACGGCCGTCCCTGCAAAAATCTCCATCCCCGTTCCTATCCCTGTTTCTGTTAATGGGACAAGGTTATCACTATCTTTGTCCCCACAAGGATMTCCATTCCTATGATTTTTTATAATGTTAATTATTTTGTTTTTATTTTTTATTTTATTTAAAAAAATAAAAATAAAATAATTAAAATTTACAATTCCACTAAAAAATATTCAAACATATTCAATTATACTTTTAAAAATATTAATATGTAGATATATGTATACATATATACTAGTGGGGATCCCACGGGGCGGGGATCGGGGCCCTTGTAGAGCGAGGAGTTCTCTCCCCGTCCCCACTATCTAGGGGTGCAAGTCGGGCAGGTTGGGTCAGGTTTATGGTCAACCCAGGCCCGACCCTAAAATTTGAGCTTAAGGCCCAAACCCGAGGTCAAACCCGATTTCCCAACCTAAGCCCAGCCCGCCCTGTAATTTGATGCATTCGGATTGGTCAATGAACCCACTCTAAAATCATACATGTATGTATGTATGTATGTATGTATGTATGTATGTATGTATGTATGTATGTATGTATGTATGTATGTATGTATGTATGTATGTATGTATGTATGTATGTATGTATGTATGTATGTATGTATACAACATTTACATCTATACACATATATATGTATAAATGTATACAATTGGGCCGGGTTTGGGCTACCTAAGGGTAGGCCCAACTTCTTGGGTCCAAGCCCAGCCCAAAGACTGAAAATCCAAGCCCAGCCTGTGTAAAATTCCGGATTGGGCTAGTTCGAGCTTGGGCTGGATTTGCCCAAGTTGCACCCCTAATGCTAACAGGGATGAAAATTTTCCCATCCTCGACCCCACGGGAGGAAAATCATCCCCATCCTTGCTCCATTCGGGATGGATCCCCACGAAGATCGGGAAAATGGGAAAATTTGCTATCCCTAAACAAGCGATTACAAAGGTAGATTAGATGCAAAAAGAATTTTTTTGTATCAATGCCGTTTTCCTATAAAATGGTGCCACGTAAGAGACTTAGTGCTGGGAAAGTGATGCCTGTTCAGTTTGGTGTTTTCTTTTTTTAAAAAAAAAAAACGTTTTTTAAACCACATCATGGAAATCGTTAAAAAATATTGATATTTTCTCATTTTTATATTATTATTAATAGTAATACTTTAATGATGTGGTATTGAAAAACTCCCATGTGGCAGCAACGGTCCCAAAAAATGTCTTTTTTTTCTTTTCTTTTTTTTTGAGGAAAAAAAAAACATTCCAATACCAATACAGTACCATGGTAGAGAAACATCATCAGTTCCAAATATTGCCAAAGTGTAACCTTTGGCTGTTCTTTTTTTAAGAAGCAGTCACTCTTAGATTGGTGATCAGTTGACAATACAGTTAATAATAGAGTTGTCAATGGATAAGTCTATTGGACGGAACCAGACTGATCTTACATGGGTTGTATGCTGATTAATAATTAGATTGGGATCCATTTTTACTGTTTTGAACCAATTAAGACCCGAGCCAATTATGTAGATAATTATATATATGA